TCTTAATAATATTACTAATAAATTGAACATTACAAATAGTTGTTGAATTTTACAATAACAGAGTTAAATAAATGAGATTCCTATAAGATATTAATAACATCATAAATGTGATTTGGGTTTAATTTGTGTTTTGAGTATTTTGGTTATTAATGATCTTATACACAGTAGAGTCGCAATATTTGTTATATATAAAAATTTGTGCCCTGACTAAATAAGTTTAAGTCTTCTTTAATGAAATGTAATTTTTAGATTAGGTCATTATTAATAATAATTGGTTATTAATACAAAATACGTGAAATTTTTACCAAAATTAGTGTAAGATAATTATAATAAAAATAAGTTTATTCTCTCTTTAATTCACTAAAAACATTTAATTAAAATAAGTTACATATTTTGACCTATTATATCAAAGTCTGTACATTTAAGTTGAGATAAATTGAATAAGAATAATGGTCACCTATTAGATGTAGTATTAAACTTAAATTGAGATTAAATTATAGTATAACCGTTTTTAAATGTCATTATAGGATTTGATTCAATAATGATGATGAAAACGTGAATTTATAACTATTTATAGAAATGTTATTTCTTAATTTTATACTGAAGGAATTTTTAAATCACATACAGGTAAATCATTTCTTTATTTTATTGTAAAAAAAATGGATTAACTAATATTTTTACCAGCTAACGAGAAAACTCAGTAAAAAAAAATTAAATACATATTAGGTTTTTCAAACCATTTAAATCATTTATATAATTATTAGTTTGATTTGTTTTATCGAGAAAGTTTAAGAAAAAATGTGTTAATGGATTAAGGGAACAAAATTTTGTTATATATATTTATTTTATTATATTAATAATTTGTAAGTATTTATTTATTAATTAATATTTGTATTAATCAAATAAAAAAATAGTATAGTTATATATTAAAATAATTAATTATAATTAATAATTTAAATATAATTATTTTATATTTATAAGTTAAATTATAATATATTTTAATAATATGATAAAAATATAATATTTTAAAATTTTTTTAATATATAAATTTGTTTTAGTAGGTCAGTCTAACTGTAGTTCGTTAAGTTAACGGAGGTAAACGGCATAAACAAGTTTTTTTATCTTATTTGCAAATGAATGAAACTAATTTCATTACATTAATAGACAGATTTATTTAATATATATATATATATATATATATATATATATATATATATATATATATATATATATATATATATAACATTTCCTGTTCTCAATATTTTCCGGAGGAGTAATAAGGTAAGGACAACGAGTTGAAATTTTTATTTATTATTAAATAAAGATACATTATGACATATTACTTTTAAATAGTTTATTTTTAATTTTTATAAATTTTAATGGATAATTTTTATAATATTAATGTTTTTTATAATTTTTTTATTATCTATTACTAGACAATTTAAAAATTACTTAATTATAATATTTAAATATTAATTTAATATACTATTTTACATAAAATGATGACAAATTTATAAATGATTTTAAATTTTTATAAAATTAATATTAAAAAATAATATATCAAACTTAAAATTAAATTATTTTTACAAAAAAAAATTAAATAAGTAATATATATTATTATCATTATTATTAATTTTTAAATAAAATATAAATATAAATATTTTTATATTAATTTTTAAAATTAATGTTAACAATATTTTAAATTGATATTTATCTATAACTATATATAAAAGAAATTAACTTTTGTAATTAATTTTTATGTTATCAAAGAAAGAGAAATATAAATATCATAATTAGAAAAAAATATTATAATTTATATGTTAAAAAAATATGTGAGATAATTTTATTTTATTATTTTCTATTTTTCTTATAAAAAAATATTATTTGTAAAAACAATATTGTTAAATTTTATGAATTTTTATTATCATGAAGAAAATTCTAAAATATTTTTTTATAAAATATAAGAATTTTTATTAAGTAATTAATTAACCATATTGCACTTAGAATTTAAAAATAAAATATTTCATGTATCATGAAAGAAAATTACATATGACAAAATTAAAAAATACATAAACTTGTTATTATGAGAAAAACTAAAGGGACTTATCAACCTTTAATAAACTCACTCATCATATCTAGATCTATGGTTAAAAAAAAAATCTCAAGTAATTTTTGTCAAAACCAATCCAAAATAATCAATAAGATTTTAATTATTCCTTCGCCTTTTACGTAGGATACGTTAGAAATTATATATAGTTTTATCATCTATAATTAATTTCAAAATAACTAAGGTTCTCATTTTAGGATACATTAGTATTTTTTTTCATAATTTATACATTAATTTAATCATAATAAGATTTTTTTGTCATTTCTATGTATTTATTGAAAGAATACAATAATTTTACTAAAATCATATAGAAAAACTTTTATTTAATATTTTTAGTACAGGTATACAAGTTATGAATAAAAATAAATTGTGAAGAAATGAGTAGAATGGTGTCATCTCTATTAAATTAATTACTTTCACCTCTCTCAGTGAAATTCATTAAAAGGTTTCCATACAGTAAACCACCTTAGAAAATAGTTTTTTTTTACTTATAATTATAAATTAAATTATATATTAAAGCATTGAATATTTTAAAAAACATATAATTTTTTATAATAAAAAATTGTAAAATAAAATAATAATTGAAAAGGTATGGACTAATGTACTGTAATTATTCGGAGAAGTAGCACGTCGGACAGGCCGCATGGTCTTGATGTACGAAAAGCAATATTCCACATAAATATATAAATTATTCATTGAAATAATAGACAGAAAAAAATTATAGAAAAACAATAATTTTTTAATATTAAATCGGAAACGAGAGTCACATATTAATTACACTAAACAAAATAGTTGTTCATTTTAATATTTGATAATATATTAAAGTTTAATTTTAAAATACATTTCACTATATTAGATTGAGAAACAAATAATTTTGTTTTAATTATTAAATCATGACAAACTTTTTATATACCAAAATAAAATATAATTATGATAGTAAAGTGATGTGATAGACAAAAACTGATGTTTAATATATAGATATTTATATAATTTTTTTCATAATAAATTATCAACATATTATTATGTAATAAATTTAAATCCGTATTTGTTTATCTAACGAGGGTAATTTTAAAGTTATATTTTAATAAAAGCAAGGCAAATATCTTTAGGACTTATTTTCTTATAACTGAACTACACTTCCCATCTATAATAAATAAATAAATAAATAAATAAATAAATAAATAAAAAAATATATATATATATATATATATATATTGTTTTTAACATGCGCTAATTTTAATTAGTTTTATACAGCTACTGATAAAAAAATCAACCGCCTCAAGCTGCTCATATTTTGAATAAAAAAACTATTACCGTTTTATTTATTTTATATGTTTAATTTTTTATTTTTTAAATTAAATACTTAATTTTACTTTATAAATTATTTTTATTTTTTAATTATATAATTAAAAATAATATAGTTTTTATATATTTAAATTATTTATTCATAACACATTTTAATTAAACAAAAATAATATTTATCATCATGTTCATAGACCAAGGCATTCTGGGGTGGGGCCTTTGCATCTCGACCTTTCAATTTACTTTTTTATTTTTTATTTTTTATGGATGTGTGTTACCTATAATTTTGTTTTATTAATGAGTCAAATAATAATTTTTATATTTATTTTATAATATTTATTATTAATATAATCATATTATTTTTATCTTATTTTATTTGATATGAAGATAGTAATTTGTTTATTTAAAAAAATATTTGAATATAATTTATCTATTTAAAATATTTTAAAGACTATCTATAATTTTTTATTTACAATTTTCTATCAGTTCGATTACAAAAAATTTAATAATTGTTTTTAGCATAATAAGTTTAATTACAAACACTGTATAAGAGATTAATGGTTTAAAAAAGTTTTTTTTTTCTTCTTTTCCATCACTTAGTCATTTATTGTTTTCTCTTCTTGTATTGTTTTGTTTGTTTGAGAACATAATTTTAACTTGGAATCAATAATCCAAATTTATTTCATGTAAATCCTAAGAAAACAAACAACATATCCAGTTGTACTAAAAATCTATCAAACTTTACCTTTTGGTTGTAACAAAAAATTCTATTTCGTATAAAATTTGATAATATTTTTTTAGATGGTCCCTAAAAAATATTTATTGTTCCGGCCCTCGAGTAGACGTACTAAGATAGTGTGATAAAAAGAATTAAACTTGCAAAAAGACTAAATTGAAATTCCATATCACATTCACATCTATCTCTGAAGAACCAATGGAAGCGTTCCTGTAATTAATTACTCCTAGTTTTGAGATATCCATATCCAACATGGACCACTGGTCATAGTCATCTTAATTATTTAAAACAAAATTCAGGTGCAAGAAAATAATTCAAAAAAAGAAGGGATAATATAAATACTTAAATAGTGATAAAATAGAATGAGTCAAGCATTAACCTATATCTATAAAGGGAAGGGTTTCTTTCCTTTCTTGATATATCAATCCAGCATTCCAATCAAGGTTATCTTTCTTTCTCTCTCTTCTGTGTCTTCCTGTGTTCCTGACTCCGAAAGTTCTTTCATACTTTCTTTCTTTCTTACTAAATTTGATTGGAGTAACATTTTCTTAGTTTTTCCCCTTTCAGTACTGATCCAGATAGTGCTACTGAGAGTTCTCCGCCTAGGTTGAAACAACAAATTGAAATTAAACCCCACCAATCCAAAGCTCTAATATCCTTGCATTTTCACATCCTTTTGGTTGGTAGGTTCCTTTTTCTGTTCCCGTTATCCAGATCTGAACTGGGTGTGACTTTTATTAGGGTTTATTTCCAAGTTACGCAAGAACCCAGTGTTTTATAGTTCCATATTATTTTGTTTTGTTAGACAAGTGTGAGAATGTGTTTAAGTAGTTCTTTTAATTCAGTTTTTGCAGCATGACGAGGGCGAAGATAAAGATAAAGAGAATCGACAACATAACGGCGAGGCAAGTAACATTTTCGAAGAGGAGACGAGGGTTGTTCAAGAAAGCTGAAGAGCTTTCTGTGCTATGCGATGCTGATGTTGGTCTCATTGTTTTCTCATCTACCGGGAAGCTCTTCGATTATAGCAGTTCTAGGTACGTACGGATATATATATTACACTACTGTGATTTTTCTCTCAGTATTTATATACATACATGTATACATGTATAAAACATAATATTCTTACGTTGTTTTCAATTAATATTTATACGTGTGTGAGTTTCTATCTAATTCCCAGCAAAGCTAGTAGAGCCTTTAGTTTTTGTACGGATTGTGTTAGAGAGAGAGTGAGAGGGATTAGATGTAATCTCATGATGGGTTTGGAACAGAAACCTCGTTTCACTCGCCTATGGTTCTTATGTCATGGGAATTTAATAGTAGTCTATTGAAGTTTCCATGGAAGGTTGTGCTAGAGAAATCAAAAAGAAAATGCAGCCGCTCTAGTTAATAGTAATTCCTACAAGCTTTCCGTAGATAGTTTTAACTACTTTTTCTGTGAATATTAGAAAAATGGAATAAAGTAAACAATGGGTGGAGTTTTTATTTTATTTTATTTTATAATTGTTAATATAAATAAAAACACAAAATAAATCCAAACTGGACCCTTCAAAGCTCAACCAATTTGGTATTTGTGACCAATATAGCAACAAGTAATCATCATATCTGTCAATGCATGAAACTGCGAGTTAGATATATAGAATGTGCTATATTTTATGCCCTTAGTGAATTAGTTTAGTCCTTTTCACATAGAATCAAACGGGCTTGAATTACAATAACCCATTTATTTTGTAGTTAGATCAGCAAAGTGCATATTCTCTCTGATATATATATATATATATATATATATATATATATATATATATTATATGGTTTCATGTTTCATTATGTCTTGGCTCGGTTAACTGATGGAATATTAACTTCCGACTTTTCACATCAGATTGTTTTCTGCATTGTTCTGAGGACTGAGATTCTGATGGTAGACTGTCTTCTCGTACTCTACTTAACAATAGTAGTATTAAATAATTTATGCTCTAGTGTTCTATCGTGGACCTAAATAGTTTATTTAATACACTGTTGAATGTTGTATTGTTGTGCAGTTAATGCACTTTTCCCAAAGAATCATGCATAAGAAAAACTCCAGTTTCGAAGGTTTTATTGAACTGCTCCTAGGTATGAGGTGAAAATGTTTGGTTGCTTTCATAGGCAATGATAAGATTAATCTAAACCCGCCAAAGAAAACCGTGTTGATTTCCTGACCCTTCGGGAGAATCATGATTTATCATCGTATATCCCACATATATAATAAACTATCGTACGTTATACGAGTTTTTTCAGTATTTACAGTTCCTGACAAATGGAGTTGGTATTCTTGCTATAGGGTTAAAAATTATAAATGATCAGAGATCTGTGATGTTAAGACTTATAAACGATGTTACTATATATCATTGTTTGTGTTGTGTGAAACGGATGCAATTAAGTGCAAATCTTTGACTATATATGGTTTCTCTTGAACTTTTGTTAATATCAGGCACTAGTATTTTCATTTTCCCCCGTACTCAGAGAACAGAAAATATAGAATATAACAGAGGAAAATGCAAGGACAAAATGAGTTTGATTAGTTGAAACAAAAAACTGGTCAATAGAGTAATCAAACAATATTTGCATAAAAGCTTTTAAACCAACAATTTTCTTCGCACTGTAAGTTATTTTACATTAGAAAAATGTTTCATGTACACTCAAAATATTCATCCACACCTAGACAGATGGTAGTGGTCGACGATCATTTTATATTAGAAAAATACTCAAAATATTCATCTGTACCAAGAAAAATGGTCGTCGTCAATGTTTCACTCCTCTATTTGCAATGTTTGACATAGGAATCAGGTTTCATGGTCAAGGGCGATACTTAGGTAGCAATTGGTTTAGTGATGTAGCTAGGGTTTTAATTTTAGGATTAGTGGACAATGTGACACAAACATTATTGTGTTCTCTCTTCTCTTGTTTTGTTGGTCCCTAAGTACAGTTAGCTTCTCTTCACTAATTTTAATTAATATAAAACATAGCATAATATAATAAACTAAAATAATAGTAATGAAAAATATAATACAGTGCTTAAAGAAATATATAAATATAACATAATAAACTAAACAGTAATAGTTATAAAAAATAAATAAAGCATATACATAATATAATAAACTTAATAATAACAGGATAAGATATTAGAATAACGATTATCTAATTATAGTAGTTTTGGGCTTGGTCACTTATTGGTAAGGGATTTTTTTCTTAACTGAAAACATTCTTAATAATTTCATCGTTATCGGCAAGATGAGCAGTGTGGGAAATTTCACAGACAAAGTTAACCTGGATTTAACTTTCTTAGAAATAATAGAATTTCTTTGTAAAAAAAAGTCATTTTCATGTTTGTTCGAAGGGACTTATCCCCGAAATACACTGAACTCTTTTTTTTCTTTTTAAATATACTTTTAACAAAATTTAAAAAAAAAAGTATAAAAGAAGAACCATTAGGAAAAGTTCAGAAATAAATAAAGAACTGAATCTTACCACAGTGATATCTAAATTAAGAACAAAATAATTTGTAAGTTTTAAAATAAATAAATCGTCGGTGTTTAAAAGCATAATAATAATAATCATTGATATATAAAAATATAAATAGGCTGAAGTTGGTTTACTCAAATTTCAACTTGTAGGAATTGGATATGAGGTTTAAATTGGTATTTGAAGCTCGCAAAAATAAGTTAATAGAGGGAATTGTGTCAAAGTGATAGATAACTCCTGTTATATCAATTTTCTTTTATGATAAAGATGATAGTTTTTTCTGTTATGTGTTAGCTACTTTTTCATAGTTACTCCATCTGTTCATGTTTGACAGATTATTCGTTAGCCTTTCTTTTTCATTTGAATGAGAAAATTCACCTTTTTCTTCCTATCATGGTCTTCACGAAAGAGCAAGTCTTGTTGCAGGCTCTTGTTCTTTAAATATTTCTCTTTCTTCGCTCAATTTACACAAATAAAGAGAAAACAAGGATAAAGTTATGAAATGAATGTGAAGTAGAAAATGAGTATATAATAAAGATAAAATAAGAGTCTAGTCATATATTAGTTACCACCTTTATTATCTTTTTTCAATTTATAAGAAAATTTTGTCTCTTTCTTTTTCTCATATATAGTCTAAGTTTATGAGTTAGTTTCTATAAGAGCGTACTTAATGAGGCAAAAAGTGTAATACTTTGTCAAAAATATGAAGACATTCATATATGGACATAAGTCGATCATGTGAGCATCATTCGTTCCCATATACGTTTTCTAACTCTTAATTACTTCTTATTTCCGTGTTATGAGAGGAATTTTTTTTTTTTTTGGCTAATGTTGACGTATACGTAAGACCATGCTGATCAATAAATTTGTTTGTTGGTACGTATATCATAGTAAGATAATAATTCTTTCTAAGTTCCGAAGTGTTAGATGACAACTAATATATACATATACCATTCATTTTCTCCAAAAGAAATGCATTTTATATAACGTGGGTTCCTTCTAGTTTGATTTATAAGGAAATGTGTGCCTAGTTAACAACTTCAAGTTGCAGAATGTTCAGCTAAATTTGCCTGTGTTGTTTGAGTTTTTTGGAATCATTTAATATAACGTTTTTCTGACTAACTTTTGCTTTTTTCCTTGGTCTCTTCTTGTTTTTGCTGTTGTAAAGTATGAATGATATAATAACAAAGTATAATACGCATTCGCATGGCATCAGCAAATTGGAAAGGCCATCGCTAGAACTGCAGGTTGTACAAAAAATTAAGTTCTTGCTTTTCTATATTTATTAGTTTGTTGTGATTGTGCAGAGCTTATACCACCAAACATCTTGGTGATAAAGCATAATTGCTCTGATTATTTTTATATATTATATAATTACTTGTACATTTGAAAAGGTGTAATCAATGTAATAGTCACGTTTAACATTTTAGGTTGAAGTTACATATGCTGATAAGTAACTGGCACTTCTGTTGATTTCAGCTAGAGGCAAGCAATAGTGCAAAAATGAGTAAGGAAATTGCAGACAGAACCCAAGAACTGAGGTATATGAATATTGTAAAAGTGAAAAAAAGAGTTAAATACTTGTAAAATAACTAGATGAATTTGAGTAAATTACATTGTGCTTATATTTGAACGACTAGTTGGATGAAAGGCGATGATCTCCAAGGACTAGGCTTAAATGAGTTGCAGCAACTGGAGAAAACTCTCGAAAGTGGACTCGACCGTGTGATTCAGATAAAGGTACGCACTTAAGGTCACTTGGTTAATTTAGACAAACCTGCGGTGCATGTTAACTAATAGATGAATTATTTATACCAACTCATTTCAACTTTTTCCTTTAGGAAAAGCAGATCATGGGTCAGATTTCTGAACTTCAGAAAAAGGTTTGTTGATAATGATGCAGTTCGCTAGTATCTGGTATAATGTGCAGTCAAATTGAAATTAATGCAGATTATAGTATGATTCTCTAGTCTTTTATACCTTTAGTGAATACGAGGAATTTGACAGCAATTGGTTATGTTTATGAGCACATAATTAGAAATGCAACACTGTTATAATTTCTGCTTTTCTAGATTTACGCTCACTTCAGAATTGTTGCTTTCTTTTGTGTGCATCTTTCTAAAGGGAATCCTATTGGAAGAAGAGAACAAGCATTTAAAGAAAAAGGTGAGAATAATGTAATAGACAAATAATAAAAACTGAAAAGGGTACTTAGGTTTATGGCTTGGTTTCTTTTCCTTTGGTTTACTTAGTGAAAACGTTAATTACATGAACTAATCAGTTAGCGGAGACGGATATGGAGGCTATGCTGCGTAAAGCAAAAATGCCTTTTCTGGTGGACTCAAGTATGGGAATGCAAGAAGGTGTTTCCTTAGAGTCCACAAACAACGTTAGCAGTTGCATCAGTGACCCTCATGTTGAAGATGGTTCCTCGGACACATCTCTGAAGTTAGGGTAAACCCTTCCAACTATATATATATAACACTTAGAAAAAGTGTTACCATAACTTGAACAAGTCATTCGTTTTTTCAGGCTACCCTTCTCTAACTGAAGATGTGACATGGTGAATGAGGCATGCCCCGTTTCGAGTTATTAAGAATTTTTCTTACAACTGTACTTCCTGGGATTTTTCATAAGTGAAAAATATTGTATGATTAGTAATTGAAAATCAATGAAATGTATTTTAATAATTTATAAATTATTATAAATTTCCACGTATTGATTTAGTACATTATCAACCATTAATGAGTTTAAACATCGAAGTGTACATATGGGAAATTAATTTGATTTTGGTGGTATCACTCCATGTGTGGCATAATAAAGTTTGGTGGTGACTGCTTGCACTTTTGATCTTTCTCTCTCTTGTTAATTCTTTTAACCGGTTATTAGAAGAAATAATTAACATCATGAAGACTTGAGCAAAGACAAGGTAAGTATTTATTGTTGTTGAATAATATGATATATTCATGTTGAAGAGGGAAAAAACTTCTATGATTAATGATTAATGGTAGAATATGTAATATTAAGTAATTAGTGATTATGTAGCACACCTCTCTTTCTCCCTAACATTTTGCTTTTTCGGCTTATGGATTATTTTAAGAGGAAAAACAAAATATCTACATGAACAAGTATGCTAAAATTTTTAGAAAATTTAAATATATTAAATTAGAATTTTTATTTTAAATAATTTAATTTTTAAATTATTTGCTTAAATAAGATAATTAACAATTATTGAATTTTATTTTTTTAGATAAAATAATTTAATTATTATCAAATATAAAAATTATTATTATAAGATTTGTAAATTATATCTAACTTACACTATATTATTCTTATTTATACAGTAAGTTTGGTCCAACTAAGTTAAGTTAAATTGTGATATATTAAATTAGTAATATTAAATAGGATTAAAATAGATTTATTAGATCATAAATATTTGAATAAATATTTGAATAAGTTTGGTTAGATTAATAGGGCATGATGAGTTAAGTTATATCAAATTGTATTAAGATGACTTAAATTGAGTTAAAATATGTGAAGTTAAGAAGGTCAAATTAAGATGAGTTAAATTATAATAGATTGGGACAATATAGGTCAAACCTACTATAGGTGATTAGGTCGAACATATTCAAAAAGGGTTTGAGGATATTAAAATATGTTAGGTCTAGACGTTTTGAATTAGATTGAGATAAGTCGGGTTGGATTAAGTCAATACAAGATAAATCAAATAAAGAACGATTAAGCTAAGATGGTTAAAATATGATTAAAATGTGTTGGATTGATTCAAATCATGTTAAGATGATTAAGTTAAGTTAGATCATGTTTATTTAGGTTTAGTTAAACTGATCCATATATGTAATATGTTGAAATGAATTAAAAATATTTCAATTAAAATTAAGTCAACGAAAAAAATGTGAAAAATAAAAATAAAAAAACAAAAATTTTGAGAAAGAAAAAAATTTAAAATTATCTTATAAGAAATCAAAATACCTTTATAAATTTTAATTAATTTACAAATATTTTATCCACATTATTAATTTTATTATAAGACATTTTAAATAATATATTAATATGAATTATTCTCAGTAATGTCTCGTATTCGAAGGGAAACTATAACTTCTGTGTATGGAATGCGAAGTCGTATTAATAAATAAGAATTTGCATTTTATCATTGTATGCATTTATGAGTAAAATGTGTGTTTTCAGTTATTTACAATGGGCATAACTTTGATGTTATTATGATTTACTCAATTATTATAAGTTTATTTTTACAAAAACTGTGTGTGTGTTTTTTAAACAAATGTCAAATCGTTGAACTTACATTTGTGTCCGTTTTCCTTTACTTGATTACGTGAATATTAAATTTATTTAAATAAAACTGAACTAAATTTAAAAGCATCAAACATTAGAATCATTGAAGATGGACAATTAAAATAATATTAAATTGTATAAATTATTTAAAAAAGATACAAGTATATTTTTTAATATGTTTTCATATAGTAAATTAAAAGTGTACTAAAACTTTAACATTAATATTTATTGGTCTTTTATAGAAAAAAGTATAATGAAATATGTGTTTAGATATATTCAATTATTATTATTTGTATGGTTGTTTACCTATTATAGTTATACCGACTCCTAATTCACATACATGGATATTATATGCAAATATGAATTATCATTTTTTTTCTATAGTACCATCCATGGAATCAAGGGTTAAGGGATATTTAATAATCCTATAACTTTATATGATTATTTTACATATATATAAATTATTTTAAAAAATAATAAACTTTATAGTATCATTTCTTACATATTTTATTCATTTATTTATCTTAATGTTTTTTTAATGTGACATTTTTAATTTTGTCACCAGTATTTATTTATTTATATTCATTAATTTTGTTTTCTTTAATTTTTGTTTTTTCACTTTTTATGTATCAAACATTAGATGATAATATCTTGATATACTACACTTTAAAAAAAAACTAAAATAGTATTTATAACTAAAATTAAAATAGTATTTATAACTAAAATTAAGGTAAGTAATCGATTAATTATAGAATAATTGATATTTATTTAATACACATTCAAAATGCATAAGACATAGACCTGTTAATATACGACAATTTAAATATATACATAGATAGGTAATTATTTATATAATTATTATATTACATGCGTCTTATTTTACTTGAATATTTATTAAAATGTTTTTATCTCTTATAATAAGGAGAAAAATAATATCTCAGAAGAATAGTTAGGTTTGTAAGGATTATTAAACCTTTTAACAGCATTTTTAAAGGAATGTTTATAAAAGTTGATTAGGAATAAAAAAATATTTTATTATAAAGTACATATATAAATTATTTTAAAATAAAGAAAGTCATTTGTACAAATAAATTTTTCAAAATTTAAAATATAATATTTTTTCATAAGCAATCTTTATAAATAATTACTTTAGATGTCCTAATAACACTTATAATTTAATTATTTTATGAAAAAATATTCTTTTTGTTAATCAGCATGATTCATATTTGGTTGGATGGGACAAAGAGCATGTGAAAGAAGAAGAGACACCAAAAAGGTTCGAAAAAAAGTTAGTGGGTTTGTTGCACAAGGACAATGATTTGACCAGGGATGACCACATAGGTTCGGTTTAGAGTACAACACGTGGGACGGACGCGCCGGTCCGTATAAGAATCGAGGGTTGAATATCTTAATCTATTATGAATGTCTGGGTTTGCGGGTCACGTGGACGGACTTATATTAGATACTCTTAGGCCATGTAAGAGGTGACCGTAAAATGGGTAAGTCTATGTAGATTGATTGATTAATAGGTTAATTTGGTAATAATATTTTAATAAAATTATGTATATATTAAAAAAAGTAATTACATAAATAAAAATTAATTTTTTATTTATTATTTAATATTTTTATTAGATAAATTAAAAATATATTATATTTATATATTAAATAATTAATTATAATCAATAATTTAAATTTAATTAATTAATTTTTATAATTTAAATTCTTGTTTTGTTCTTGTTGAATTGATAGATTAAATGGAGTCATCAAAATAGACTAGCAGATAAAACTACCAATTTGTCTTTTCATTTTTTAGGTCCTTTGTCATTCTTAATGTTAAGATCTTAATTGAGATTTATACAAATTTTATGGGATTTTACATGTTACATATAAGATATAGAATTTTATGAAAATTTTATTTTAGTGAAAGATTTTATTTTAAGATCTTAAATCAATTTTATAGGTTTCATAAAAAAAAATTTTAACATTTTTAAATATTAGTTAATTAATTAAGTTTTAATTATTAAAATTAAAACAAAAAACAAAAATATTAATAATTGATATTTTAATTAATAAAAAATTTATTTATTAATAATATAAATAATATATATACTAATAAAAAATATCTAAACATTGACCATTAGTATGGATAATTAAATTTAATTATTATTGTTGTTTATACGTTCACAAATATAATCTAATAAGTTTGAAGTTGTTGATGAATGTCTTTTATATGTATATAATGTCTTATTTGTATGTATGCAGTCAAATTAGGAGAAATAAAACTTATATGTATCAACATTTAAGATGTTTTTATGAATATGATTAAAGTAAACATTATCATGAAATATATCTAGTTGATCTTTAATGATCATATTATATAATATAATTTATGCTAATATGCTATTTTTTATTATATAATGTGTGAATTATGCAATGAATGACATATAATTGCAAATTAAGATTGTAGGACATTAAATACTTTCTCAATATCTTTTCTCTTTGTTTTTAATATTTTGCTAATAATTTTTTTCCCTTGTCATTAGGATGATAATTACAAACGTTGTCCAACTAAGATAAATGTCATTTGCAATGTAATATTCCGTGTTATATGGGGTTTCATTAATTGTTAAATTATATGGGAGGAGTTTGACCTTATAAAATATCATTATAAATGGGTGATTGATTTAACACATTTATATCATTGTTTGATCATGCAACTCCAAAATATGTATGTCATCCACAAGTCTTATAAAACAACAACTAAGTATTATTGTGAGTTTTCATACGATCACCTTTATTATATTAACTTTGTCATGTAATTGGATAATTTTCTTCATTCTTAATGCATATAATCAAACGAACCTAACATATTTTGAAACCCACATGCTTCTCTAATTTGTGGTAGACAATTGACATTATTATCGTTTAACTTTTTAAGTACTCATCTCCAAATGTCCGGTTTACACCATTTACAAAAGTTTCTAAACATTGGATTACAGTACATTTAACAATTTGAATATAGTCATCCATATTATCTATAAGTGATCACACTTTTGTAGCAGTGATAAACCTATTCTACCAAGTGCATTAAATCTCATTTGAAAATATAAATTGTGATTACTTAAAGCATACACATTTCGAATAAAAAAGTACTTATGTATTCAAAACTTTTGATGAAACTGGATTTTTGTTTATACTTAATTTTTTGAAAAGTAATAATTAACCAATCGAGCATGATCATCTCCACTTTGTTGTCGAAACTCACATAAGTATCTTATCATTTATTCTTCAATATTGTCTTCAAGTGTTTCTCGAAGAATTTGATCTTAAAGTACATCAAACTCATAATTTGAATCCATTAATCACTTTATTTAAAGAAGAGGGATAACTACCTAAAACTAATATGAAGTTTATCTTTCTCGTTTGGTTATAACATATAATAATAAAAAAATGAAATCTTTGGTATATTATAGATTGAATGCACTAGTTGATATATGTTTTGTTAGATTTGTAATTCATAAAAATTTGTTTCAAACTCGTTTTATATATCCAAATTAAAGTTTCGAAAATGAGAAATCAAATAAAATAATAAAAAATAAAAAATTATATTCGTAGAAAAAGTTATAATTAAAATAATAAGTAGATGTTAGAAAAATATATTTTATTTGTAAATGTGATCAATGATGAACATGAAATTATGAGTGTTATTATATGTATAAAAAAATATTTACTATAATAGAAGAACTACCATGAGATATCCATATATGTAAAATATATTTGTTAAGACTTATTCAAGTCAGAAAAGTAACTCATAATCAACTGCGGTATATCTATGTATTTGAGGTTAAGTCCAAGATGTGATTCATAATCAAGTGATATATGTGTGGTTGTTGGTACTTTGAAAGGTACTATGATGAAGAAGTATAAATATTTTGAATTGAGATTTTAAAGAAAATTATTATGACTCTACTTATTACTATAATCACATAAATAAAAAGAACAAATGATGATAGCAAAGGAAGTTTGTATAACTTAACTTGTGGAATGAAAAAAAAAAACTATATTTACCTTGTCACATGAAAAAATATGTTTTAATTATGTATATATATTGAAGAGTTCCACTTAGGAAATGTAGTGTGACAAATGTAGAATCTCTTACTCTAATTTAATGTTCAATTTTGTAAAAGTCATTTAGAGTGTGTGACGTTAATTGATATAATAAATTTGAAATAAACAATGATAAATATATGTAGAAATGTCTGAAATTGTGATTTTATAATAAATTTAAATTTCACATATTTATTTTTAAATACTAGCTTACCCTATGTGTTTTGTATATTGTTTTCTTTAAATGTAATGATTGTGTTTTTACAAAGGAATGTATAATACATATGTTAAACCTTTATAAAAGTAAGACAAAAGATGATAAGATCTTAAATATTTTTATTAATTTAACATTTTATGATAGTTCAAATATATATAAAAGAAAAAAAAATAACGTAAAAATTATTTATATTTTAAAAGATATCTTATTCATATAAATTACATAAATATGTATGGTATATATTTTAGAAAATTACACTTCACGTTCTATAATTCTTAAGAAGTGATCATAAAAAAATATTTAGTTTGTAATTGTGTCAAATTCAATTAATTAACACTAAAATAATAATATATTTTATTAACATGTCTTATATTTGATTACAAATTATATAAACTATTAAACTAATAATATCTCTTATTAACCCTATAAACTCTTAGACTAATAATAAAATTAGTGAAATGTGCATAGAGACAGTGCCCCTAAAATATTAATTATATTTCATATTAATAAATAAATTTTCATTTTAATTTTTTAATTTTAATATATATGTATATATATTTTTTTACTTTATCCCCTTGAGATGTTCCACTCTGTCTTTGACCTCTTTTCTTACTTTTAGTAATTCAAAATTTAAATTCATTTAAGTTAAATTCATAACTACACAATATAATATATAATATCTTATTTAGTGTGAAAAAAATCTTACTTTATTTATGAATGTATAATCCTATATTATCCCTAGACATAATTATTTTTTATAATTCATTTAGCTATTAAAATTATGTCTAGTTTAATAAATTTTAAAAATTTCAATATCTAAATACACAAATTATGGGATTAAACCCCTAAAATCAAGTCTTCACTTAGATAACAATAACAACATTTTTTACTCAAACTTAGAATGAGAAATAATTCCACTCACATTGATAAAATATAAAATAATATAAATTTTCCAAATTACACATGTCATTAAGATTCAATACAAATATTAATATATAATTATTTTTTATTAAATCTTAAAAAAAAACTAAGATTTAGCCAAATATGTTAAATCCAACATATAATAAACCAACTCATTGAATAAATATCACATAAAATAAACATACAAAATAAATTTTAATATTATATATATATATATATATATATATATATATTATACATACAATTTAAGTTATCGACGCGAACAAATTTTAAATTATCCTATAATGCAAATTTTATAAATTCAGAAAATATATATTAAAATAAACAAAAATATAGTTGGAATACGAAGAGAGGGTGTTAGCTATTCTGACGCGGAGGTGTTGTTGTAAGAGACAGAGGTGACGCTCCACAACATTGGCGTACTTGTTGATGTTGACGAATCATTACTAAACAATTCCTTTACAATGGCTTAAGAAGAGATACAACGATAACATTTTTGTTTATAACGAAATATAAAATCCAGTATTGATATTTGGAGAACCAATACAACCTTCGAACAAAAAAATAAATTAGAATAATAATATATTTTATTATTTAATTAATATTGTCAAAGGAATGTGTGGGTTCTAAATACATCATTTCCCTGTAAAAATTAAAAAAAACCTGTTAAGCAAATTAGATATATAATAATTATCTTTTTAATCGTTTGTATAATAATTATAAAAAAATATGTTAAATTTGTTTTTTTAACATAAGATAATAATTAGTCAATAATCGTGTATTATATACCACGATAATTATAAATGAAACGTGATTAACAAATTTAAATTAATTTCAAATTTATTATTGTTAATTTACGTATAAATTATATTTTTTTATATATATATTTTTTATCCGGAAATTACGACATTAGGTAACGAAAAAACAATGATGCCAAACGAAGCAGCTTGCGATGTGTTGCTTCGGATAATAGTTGAACTCGCGGTGGCAGCTCACGGTGATTTGCGGTGGAGAGGAGCTCGCGCTGATGTTCTAGACGAAGAAGGTGAGAGCTGTGCTTTGGAGATGAAAGCAAAGTCTTGTTATAAATCGCACTAGTGTTTTTATTGATCCAATAATTTATTTAATATTCTTATTTTCTAAAAAAGAATAATAAAAAATTAAAAGAAATGGTCAAAAAAGTCTTATTTAAATATAAATAAAAATATAAAAAGTAAACAAATAAAAATAAAAATAAAAATATATTATGAAATGATATCTTAATCGTAATATTTACAAATATGTTTTTTTATCTAAATAGTAAAATATTTATTATTAATATTTGTTAATATTATTATAATTATATAACTTTATTTGACATTAAATATTAAAAAATATAATAATAGCAATAAAAACATATACATATATCACCTAAAGATGGCCTAATAGTTATCGGAGAAAAAAAGAACTATGAGATATAATCCTTAATCATAATCAATAACACAAATTAGTGTGTATTGTTAATGTCAAACTTTTATGTTTTGAATAATAATATAATTTTTTTTATGGTTAATGCAAGCACTATTTTCAATTGAATAGCAATATACCGTTTTTTGCATAGTTAATACATGCACTATTAATTAATTTTTATTTCAAAATTGTAATTATCAGTTTTTTAAACAATTGAAATTTATACCAGTTTAATAGATATATATTACGAATATAAAATTTTATCCATATCAATTAGTTATTTTTTTATTTAATATTAAGTTTAATAATTGTTATGAAGATTAACAAAATTACCAAATAACATATTTTTTTATCAATAGAACAAAATACAGGTTAAAAAATATATATATATATATATGAGAGAGAGAGAGAGAGAGAGAGAGAGAGAGAGAGAGAGAGAGAGAGAGAAATTTACGGAGCGGACTGCATGAACCTCCCACGAGTTTGCGACAGCTGTCATATTTTGATTGGCAGGTTTCACCACCATTTAGGTCAATCTTCAACTCACGCACCCCCAATCACAAGAGTTGCATTACACTTTCTATCAATTTCGCGCTCTCAACTCGTCCCCTCAAAAAAACCCTTGCTGGGGACCATGAGTAAGTCTCCGCGCAGAGATCTACAGGTCTTTGATTTCAACGAAGAGGATGATGTTGCTGCCTCAGATAAACACCTCGATCACCAATCCCTGTCCAAACACGATTTCCCCCCTTGCGGTAAGACGATTTCCCTAAAATCCTAATTCGATAAACAGTTATGTTCAATGGAAATTGTTCGTACTTAATACTGGTTTTGGATTTTAAATGTTAATTTGTAGGTGTTGTCATTGTCATAATCAATGTTTGATGATTAATAGTTTAATTTTTAAAGTATAATGATGGTTCCTAGAGAGTCAAATTGAAGGAACTGAAGGAGAGGGATTGAAACTAGAGTAGAGAGTTTTTCCTCAATAGTTAATTTTGTTTTTGTTTTGGGGACTTAAAAAGTTCATCAACAATTTTAAAAATCTAGTATCATGATTGTTGGGTATCTTTTTTTTATTGAGATAAGTTGGATTGTTCTCAACACAAGACGTTGTTGACTATAGTCATTATTGTTGTGATTGTAGTATGTGGATGAACTTATGGTTGCTGAATTCGTGTAAGGGCAGTGAACTTTGTGTTCTTTGATAAATCGATGATGAAAAATGCTTATCTATAATTATTATGATGAAATGCAAAAGGGTCAAAGACAAAAAAAATGCTAACCAGGGCCCTCGTTAAGGAATTATAAGTGGGGATTTATATAAAAAGTGTTATTAATGTGTACTCTTATCATGATATCAATTATGGTCGACGTGTTTCCAATATTTTTATTAACTTATTGATCCCTTAATCATTACCTATAATGCATGGATAACAAGACCCTTAAAGTATTCTTCCTCGTTTATTTGTCACTCACTTAATCAGTGCATGTACTTTATTTTACTATTTAATTGTTTCGTTTTCATTTTTCTAAAATAAAGACTTGGTTTTTGTGTTGTATGACTTTTGCTTAAATTGTTTTATCTATTTATAGTTTACAAACACTATTTTCATCTACATGATATCTTTGAAGTATGTTTTCATTGTACCTGAATCTAACTATATGAATTATGATTCGCACTTCAAAAAATAGCATGGCAACTCATGAATAAGATCTTAATTTGATAACCATGGTTTTAGTTGCTTTAATATCTTTAATATCTCTTATCATTAATATATTTATCACCATAGTTTTTATATTTAATTCTCATCATAAGAATGACATCTTATTATGGAAATCCTAGTTATTCTTTTTATGATATCGCGGAATCTCATTGCGTTACCTTAACAAGCTTGAAACATATGCCTGTGCATTCATTCATAGGTCCAAGTGGACGTGTAAGCATGTGAATAGTCAATATAAGATTCTTAAAATGCTATCTATACAAGACAAAGCTAGACTTCTAAGAGCTGAAGATATTAATGATTCCACCTACTATTTATTGTTCCCTCATAGTTAAGGTACTTCTGTGAAAAATAATTAATGCAAGAAATAGTATGGATTGGGTCTTACAAAAAGGACCAAAATTTGTGTCTTTTACAAAGTATTGAAGTAAGTAATAAGATAATTACTAACCATTTGAAAATCAAGTATCTTAAATCTTAATTGCATTGTGGATTATGAACTGCAAGATGGAGTCTCCTACTCTTTATTACGGAAAATGTGCTTTAGCTATGTCGTGTAGTCTTTATTTTAGTAATTTTGCATTCTTGAAATATTCTCCCTCCCATGTTTCCCCACTTCTTTCTTTTTTCCTTTTGTATTATGTAAGCATTTCAATTATGATATTCCTGTCATGACATCTTGCTTTGCTTCCGTTCATGTCCAAGTTGGTTTTCAATAATTGATTGTACACAGCTTGTGATATATTGACAGATTCCCAGGTCAACAAGGTTGGCATAAAGAGCGTTGCCAGTATTCCTAATGTGGGTGGTGCGATTTTTAATTTGGAAAAGGGTGGTTCTGACCCTTCTCCTGACAGAGTGGGAGATATATATGATAGTGAAGAGAAGCAATCTGTGTCGGAAGCTGACAAACAATCAAATTCGATTAGTCATGAAAATGATCATCATTTTAAAATAGATATCCATAACCATGACCAGCTAGAGAAAATGGATACAAGTGACGAAATTTCTTCACCTGAAATAGGCCAGATTGACCCTTCAGGGTCTTCATACAGTGTACTGTAACTTCAATTTGTCAGATTACATTCTAAGGAATTGATTTCATTGTTAGATTTATATCTATATTCAATTCTTTACAGAATGAATCAATTGATGTCAATTCAGAGGCTGATGAGAGTGCACCAACAAGTCCTGCTTCTGATATTCTAGAGAATGGTGGTGTGTTTCTCGTAATCGTGGAGTCCTGATAACTCTTAACACTTTTAGTTTGAAAATATATTGAAGTTTACTCACTAAGTATTCATTATTTCAGTTTCATTAAATGTTCGTGGATTTAATGGCACACACAGTTCTGACATGGTAAAATTTATTTTAATAACATGATCATTTTGTGCAAAAGATATTGACATGACATGCTGTGCTTTTTCACCTTTGATTTTTTAGATTTGGTATTGCTGTAGTTTTTTTTATACTGATGTTCTGTTTACTTTTTCATTACTGATGCATATTAATTTTTTTGAATTGGTTTGTCCTTTCACCTACTGCTGCTTCATCAAGTATACTTTTTATCTGAGAATATAAGCTGTTGTACTATCAGTTTAAGCTACAAACTTTGTACTTTCTTATTTCTAAATCTAGTACATCATAATAAAATGCTTTCTATGGATTTGATTCTCTATTTTTGTGGTATATAATGTTGATTTTGTATTCACTATTATTTTCTTTCATGTATTTTCAGGATGACACAAATATGGAAGTCGTGCTTCACCCTGATTATGTCATATACCAAGATAATTATTACCCGGGGCCAAAGTTAACTTTTTCACCTTTTTGTGTCAAGATCAATGTTTCAACTGCTTGTATAAAGCAAGATGCGGTTGATCTTGAATGGGCAGTTGATGATCTCGTTGGCATTAATTGTCAGTTGTTTCAAAGTGTGAGTTTTGTAGTTCTATTGCTTCCATACACACACACACACGAGAAAGCATAAAGTTACTTAAGAGTCACTTTAAAAGAGTTTTACTCCTTATCTTCAATTTTAAGCTTTTTTAATCTGATGGTTCTGAAGAGCAGATCACCTTTAACCATTAGATTAAAAGAAAATTGGTAGTAACTTGATCCTTCTCTCTCTCTCATGTGTGTGTGTGTGTGTATATATATATATATACACATGAGAGAGAGAGAAAGAGAAGGATCTGTGTGTAAAATCTATAATTCTCCTGTTATGGCCTTTCTTCAGAGTGGAACCGTCATTATAAAGCTTAAAGTAATATCAAGTAATGCAAGCCAATCAAATCATGTAAACGATGCTCCAGGTGAGTGCAAATATTATAGTTGATCAATGGGGAATGGTTTTCTTCTTCATTATAGTTTGACATACTTCTCAAACTGTAGCTATAAATTTATTTGGGTAGTTTCTGGTATTAGGAATTTGTAGATTGTTTTGCAGATAGTATAACTTATCTGTTACTTACTGTAAGTGCATGTCTGTACATCTGCTAGGCATCGAGGAATTGGAAATTGCAGTTGTTGATTACGATTGGTCCCTGAGACATAGACAAATCACATCTCTTAATACGAGATACTTGGCTTCTTGGAACATTGCTCTTCAGTAAGTCATTAAGTTTTTTTAATATATAATACTTGACCTCTTGACAGGGCACTGTTGATTATAATGTTTTCCTTTTGTTTGTAAACTTGTGATGTGTGATTTCATCGTCATGGTAAAGTTTTTTCTTGTTTCAAAATTGATTAGAAGTGGATATGTTTTGTGCACTGAATGCCAGTTTGTCATTTTAGTGAAGTATTATTTTTGTTTGATTTTTCTCTTGTAGTGAGGATGTAGAAGGCAATGAAACAGGTTCACGTGGATCAAGATGCTACTTCCCTAAGTAAGAATAATTAATTTCCTTTTCCTTTTTGACAAGTATACCTTAATGTAGTGATGCTGTAGTCCATAGCTTTTATTTTGAAAGCATCTTCTGGTTTAGTGCTTTATGGTATTCTATTTCCTTTGCCGTTGCATGGTATATGTTGTCTTTTAATCTTCTTTTCCCTGTATTCCATAGTTTTTATGTTATATGGTTTAATGTGTGCTTCTGATATGTTTGGCTTAGGATGTTGTAGCTTTTGGGATAGTTGGTTGATGACATGGTATTAGAGGCTTTATGACCGTTGTCTACTGTGTAATTTTCACCACTCATTCTTCCCATAATGAATGTTGTAGATATCATTTATTGGTAATGTGAGGCTTAAGTCCATGGTTACATTTTCCATATACTCCAAGTAGAAACTTCTGTTATTTGAGGAAAACAAGCTTGCAGAAATCTTCTTCCGATTTCTAGATGCTTTGGCAATGTGTTTATTACAATGGTTGTAAAAGATTATGATGTCTTGTATATAACCATTAGAGCCTATTGCTTTATGCTGTCATTTTCTTGTCTTAATGTTTTACATGTGTGGATGTTTTTCTTTGGAAGGGGGAGTGTAGCTTTTTATACCATGTTTAGCCTGAGAATTTTTGCTCTGAAACAGTTTTGAGGAGCGTTTTGATGATGTTATCTATCCAAAAGGGGATCCAGATGCTGTTTCCCTAAGCAAGAGAGACGTGGATCTCTTGCAACCAGACACATTCATTAATGACACAATTATAGATTTTTACATCCAGTAAGTTTGCTCTATTTCTATCTGTATACATATGACATCATTCCTTTATTGCATTTTTTGTTAAATTTTATTTATTCATCATATGCAACACTGTAGAAACATTTTTATGTTGTTCTACCCTTCTTGGTTGCATTTTCTTTCTTGTAGATTGTAACTTTGTGAACCATAGAGTTTTCATATGGTTTATTTAACGTGCATATTAGAATTGATAATAGATAATCAAACTAATGAGCAGAGGAATATCAACATATATCTTGCTTAATACTAAAAGGATTTATTGATTGTTGGATACTGAAATAATTGATGATTAGGATTATGTGAAAAGGCAGAAGATATTAAATAATAAAAAATTGACAGATTCTGATATTGTATTGAAATTATTTAAGTCAAGGATAAATTCGTCTTTACGGCATAGTATTGGTTGATTGTTAAGTTAACAAGGAAATGGCGCAGAAGGAATAAAGAAGAAATAAGAAGCAACAAGAAAAAAACAATCAGAGCTTAATTAATGGATTGTTCCTCTCTTAGATAAAACTATTTTACCCTTTAAAAAGAATTCTCTTCTCTTCCATCAATCTCTCCCCATCCCACTTTTTTCATGTTTACCTTAGCCTTTCTAGCATTGTAGAATTTCCTCCCCAATTCCCTGATGCCAGGCGTGAAATCTGTTACTCTCTCCCTCCTTAATTTATCTTTACTCATGACAGCATTTCGTACCCCGCTTGAATATGCCTGGTTATTATTATTATTATTATTATTATTATTTTATTCTCTTATGGTATACATATGTTAAAGGCGCACTAAAATTGTAGGGCGTTTAATCTATATTTGATTTTTGAATATGGTTTGACATTTTGTAAATCCTAATTTTGCAGGTATCTTAAGAATCAAATACCGGAGGAGGAAAAGCCTAGATTTCATTTTTTTAATAGCTTTTTCTTTAGAAAGCTGGCTGATATGGACAAAAATCCATCCAGTGCTTCTGATGGAAAAGCAGCATTTCTACGTGTTCGTAAATGGACAAGAAAAGTGAATTTATTTGTAAAGGATTATATCTTCATTCCTGTGAACTTCAAGTAAGATTCTATCAAAGTTTTGTTTCTCCAACTTTCTTTCTCTATTCTAGTGCTGATCAGCATTTTCTTTCATGTTATGATAGTCTTCACTGGAGTTTAATAGTCATATGCCATCCTGGTGAAGTGGTTAATTTGAATGGTGAGGTCTCGACTTATGTTCTTTCTTGTGATTCTCCATTTTCCGAGATTTATGTTATTTTATGCATTCCAGATAAGGAGCTGGACAATTCACTTAAGGTACCCTGTATATTGCATATGGATTCTATAAAAGGAAGTCATAGTGGTCTGAAAAACTTGGTGCAGAGGTAGACTAAAACTTCTCACTTTCTTTTATTCCCTTCTCAATCCCTTTCCTGTCCCCAAAAATGTATGCAGGTTTTATGTTTTTCTTATTGAAACTGAATTCAATGTTATCAAATGCAAGTTGTCTTTGGCTTCATGTTTGAGCCTTTGTAGACTCTGTCCCTGCAGCTGAATTTTGCAACTATTGATCTGACGGATTTATCAGATTGTGATTTTATTAAGTAATTGATAATGAAGTTCCTAGTGGTTATTGTGCTTCCTTTAATTATACGAGTAGTCTTGAAATTTTGCACGAGTTTCAATATAACCAAATTTCATAAATTATCTTGAGGGAGTTTTTCTGGCCTTTGGAACAGAAACTTATATTTTAAGCCAGTATTTGTGTATAATAATATAATTCATTTAAACGTTGTCCACTTTGTACTCAACTTTTTGCACAACAATAAACATATTAATCTGAATAATAGAGCTCAAACCATTGATCTTGCAGTCTTATCAAACTGTGAGTCCTGTAGATAAAATTTCTTTTAAGTTATTGAAACTTTTAGAATTTGGGCTTTAGATTATAACTTAACTAATGAATTTTAAGATGTTGATTGTCCAAGTTTTATAAGCGCTACTTAAGCCTTCTCTCTACAATGTGGAATCGATAGACTCTACACTGTGACCTTTCACCAACCTTTCAGGTCAACCCCTTATATGCTACGGGTGACTGCAACAATGGTGGCTTTTCAACTGAAATGAATACTCAAATGTTAAATTTTCTAATTTACAACTTTAATTTAATTCTTTAGTTCCATCTCTAAATTAATCTTGACCCATTGAAATACAAATATCATGATTTTTTATTTTTGATTGCTGCAATAAAAATAATGGATGCTGCTTATTTGTATTGGCATTTTCTGTTACCTTTTTTTTTTAATTTGGCCATTAATATCAATTATATTATACTGTTATGCATGTTTATTTCTGTAGCAACTATGCCGATTCCTTATATTTGTGTTGTCTTTTAAAAAAGTGAACTCAAAAGAGTTGAAATTTGGTCTTTTGTCATCTGATATTGACAGTTACTTATGGGAAGAGTGGAAAGAAAGACACAAGGATACTTTGGAAGAAGACCTTTCATCAAAATTCTTCAATATGCGTTTTCTTCCACTTGCGGTATTGCCTGCTAACATTTTGATTGTTTTCATAAAGACGATCATTTTTCCTTTAGAGACCCATTAGTGTTTAATGAAAATAAATTTCTGTTTTATTATTTGTTGAGGAGTAGATACTACATAGTTTTTGGAAACTGGCTTTTCTATGAAAAATCTCATACTGGTTGATGAAGATGAAAATCTTTTCCTTCACTGGCTTAATTATTCATATATAAAATACAATGGTTGATGAAGATGAAAATCCCCATCACCTGATAATTTTAATTCCCCCCTATTTTTGCTGCATTTAAATGCTCTCCTTCTGCATTTGTATTTTTCTTGAAATGGCTCATTAACAGTCGAGTTATTCAAGGAACACGGATCACTTTGTGGCTTATTCTCTAAATGGTTTTTTTTTTTCAATGTTATGATTGAATGCTCTAACTCCGTGATAGTTGGCCGCAGCAAGAAAACTCGTTGAGGCCTATTTCTACTTAGCACTAATCACTTTCTGCTTTTTTGCTCCAGTTTTTTTTTTAATTTTTATTGTTGTGATTGATTGAATGCTCTCACTCCATGACAGTTGCCGCAGCAAGAAAACTCATATGATTGTGGCCTATTTCTGCTTCACTACCTAGAGCTGTTCCTTACTGAAGCACCTCCTAATTTCAATCCTTTCAAGTTAACCAAGTTTTCCAACTTCGTAAGTGATCTACTTATTCTTTTAGTTTTGGTTTTATTTCAAACATTTTATTTGAACACAAAAATAAAATAATTGCAAAAAGCATTTCCATTCTAAAATCAATTATCCACTCAATTGGTTATCAATGTACAAAGAGTTGCTATGCTAATAAGTGCTTGTTGACCTGTCAATGAACTATTATCGCTTGAGTGGTTCAATATTTTTAAATTTGAAAATAATTTTACCCATAATTCATTTGTTTCAACGTCCTCAATTTCATGTATCTCTTCATCCATGTAGTTCTAGCTGAACAACCTTTTCAGCATTCTCTTGAATGCACTAATTGGGTGACGTACATATCCCATCACGCCCTGCGTCTCCCAAATTCTACTAAATTATAGTAAGATGAATAATGTATATCAAAAGGGTGTCTTGTCAACATTTATTTCTTAGCTGTTGATCATGCCTATTTAAGTATTACATCTTCCAATATCTGTAGTTCCTTGCTTAGTTGTCATAATGTTTTCTATTTTAACATTTGAAAGATAACTGGCATCTTAATAAAAGATTCATATTGCTTCTTATATGAATTTGACCTAACTTAACTAGTAATTTCCAGCTCAATGTGGACTGGTTTTTGCCTGCTGAAGCTTATCTCAAGCGAACACTGATCCAGAAGTTAATCTTTGAACTTGTGGAAAACCATGGTTCGCATGAAATCTCTTCGTCCTACTGTAGTGATGATAATGAGTGCCTAGAAAATAATGATAACAGAACTGGGATTGATCATGCTGAAGTCAATAAGGAGTCAACAACATCTCATGCAGGGCAGGGAATAGAAATCACTCTATTGTCTGGTTCATCGTCTTTGGATCCTCAATCTTTTAACGGTTCAGGCTTGGTTCTTAAAGAGCTTTTTGAGCCAGGAGCTACTGCAGGAGCAATGTTGGGACAATGCCAATCTTTTGACCAGCGTTTCAATGGTTCAATATTTTCCATGGAGGTATCTACTTGGGTCTGAATTTTTTTTCTTAAATATGTTTGAATCACACCTAGGGTGATGTGTAGTATCCCCTTCCGACAACATTTTTATCACCATGGTCATAGTGTGTTTTATAAGACTTCTATGTTGAATAATTTATGCTGTCTGCTTTACATTATACAATGAAAAATCAACTTTTGACCTATCACTTCCCGGAGCACACAGTCCCTAAATATTGCCGTTGAATAATGGATACATTTTTTCATGCTGGCAAGACATTCATTTTAGATCCCATTACATTTTATTACATTGATGTTGTAAAACTAATCCCTAACCCCTCTTTTTTGTTGTATTTTAATAGGAAGACACTGAGCTTGGGGAAGAGTTTATGTACTTGCCTACAGATCCGAACTTCCAGCAAGTGGCTGGAATTACACCTCAAACATGTTCTTTGCCATATCTTCCTAGGGATTGTGGAGAGGAGACATGTAACAGGCCACAAATCCCTCTGCAAACGGACCATGACGTGGTTGAGTCATCTCTAGACGCATTAAATGGTGCCTTAGATGATTCAGAAGACGCGATAAGGGTCACCAAAAATTGCCCTTCTGTGAATGAGCCCAGGTCCTCTAATGAAGCCGAACAAGGGGAGAAAACTTGCTCGGCCTTGGAAAACGCTGAGAATGTCATAGATATTTCTACCGTTGTGGGAAATTCTCAAGACTCAATTACGAAGTTTGTCGATAACAATGGAAATCTCCACTCTACTGGTCAACAAACTCCGGCAATATCCTCACAAGTTTCTGATGTACGAGATTATGAGGAAACCACGATGATACCGTTGCAACAGGTGTCTGACGTGGCAGTTGATGAGCAAACTCTCACGATACCATCGCATCAAGTTTCTGATGCAATAGATGATGGTGAGACTATTGATGGCGTGGCACCTGATATTTGTGAGGAACAAGCTCCGAAGAGGCGGCGGCTTATGCCTCTTGAATGCAAAAGTGAGGACATCGTGACAGAATCCGATTTGTAGATAACTAGATATAGATAAATATGGCTTCAAAACATTGAATTGTTTCTAGGTTTTACTTAACCAATATGTGAATACTGATTAGTGTCGTTGCTTAGGTGTAGTTAATTCTGCGACCAAAATTTGGAAATATCTGCGGACTTCATATACAATTCAACCTGGGAATGACAGGGTTTTATTTTCCTTGATGAAAACCTTTAAAGTTACCTCCTCAGGCTAAATTTTACTGTTGTTTCTTTTGATGTAGTTTGTAAAACTAGGGTTAATATCTTCTCTCACAAATAGAGAAGTGGAAAACAGTACAAAGCTATCTTGAGTAGAGAAAAAGTTACTTAACAATGTTCAAGGGAGGTAAACTTACAATATATAACACCTACTGGGATAAAATTAGTGCGTGGAGCATATTAATCCTCACTTTTACTTTAACAACTAATCATACCCTAAAATAAAAAACTGGAGAAAATTATGATTAAAAAAATTATCCAATTATATTATTTGTACTGCAGTGTTTGACAAATGTATAAGTGCTGAAGTTGTGTAATCCATCAAATAGCAGGTTGACAAAAATGCTTCTGGCTAAACAACCTTCTTTTTAATGTTTATAATTTTAAAGAATTATGAATTATTAAATTATCACGATTCAAACATTCTAAAACAATATTATATTTTCGCGATAGCTGAATATTTAACTCTACTGATATAAGAATCTAATTATTTTTTAAGAAATAAATTTAATAATAATTAAAGTTATTAAGCTTTTATTTCACATATAAATTATTTAGTATTTTTCTATATTTAAATTATACTATAACTACTTGTGTATTAAACTATTTATGTAATAATATGTAAAAAATATGTATGTAGATAATATTTATAAATATTTTATCGTACGATTCGTACCATTTATTACCATTTATTTCATTTTGTTCATAAATCTTAAAATTAATGTATTCCAATCACAACTTAAATTTTATAATAAATAGATATATAGATAAAAAAAATAATTAATATTAAAACCATGTTTCGTAAATCATATTCTAAAATGTTTAACTAATTCATTCTCTCATTTTTTTTCATTAAAATAGCCCATAGGTTATTTGATTCTTCAATAAATAAAAAACATGAACTCAAATAGATAAAAACAAAATAGATTTCACAAAGTCTATTACGAAAATGTGTTCAATTATGTTTTAAAAAAATTATTTGATTTCAACTTTATTGATCAAAACACATAAAATAATAAAACACTTTAATAATTTAAGATCCATGAAACGAAATCGAAGGAATTAAAAATAAAAACGAAATAACTATTCACAAACAAATTTTTAATTTTAAAATATTGTAGTAAGATTTTTTTAAGCATTAGTATAGCATTACTTCATCCACACGGTGACCACACCACACAACGTAGAGAGAGAGAGAGAGGGACTGCTTGGCTGTTAGCCGAAGAATCAAAGACTGTATGATTTCATTTGATGTACAGTAATGAATGAAAATTTACCCTTTTCACCAGTAAACGTGGCTCCCAGGCTTCAACTGTGGCAGTGATATCTGTATGCAGTGTGAGTGAGCGAAGTGAACAACAGTGGGGAGATGCAGAAGCGGAAGGAACAACCAAATCAATGCGTCCATTGGTCCCCAAAGGAAGAATCACCAGAAGAAGCATGACATGTCTATGCTTTACCCATTCACTCACTCAAACGCATAGCCTACCTCGCGCCACCACCTTCTCCTCTTCTCTCCACCACAACCGCAACCCCCTCTTTCAATTTTTCTCCGTAAGAAAACCAATTCTCTCCTTTTCTCTCTTAAATTCTCTCAATGTTTTTCTTTCAAATCTTTGCGTTTCTATCTCGACTTTTCTTCCAGGGTATTCTCCGTTCTCCAATTCGGAATTTTTCCACTAACTTCAGGGGCGGCCCTACACCGGTTGCTTCTTCTTCTGCACTTATGGCCGATTTCGACGCAGATTCTGTCACTTACCTCACTCAGCGAGAAGCCGCTGAGATCGACGAGACGCTCATGGGTCCTCTCGGCTTCAGTGTCGACCAGCTCATGGTATTTTTTCTTTCTGCGTTTTTTATTTTTTTCACTTTCGTGTGTTAATGCGTTGGTTAAGTTAGTTAACGGATTTTGTTCCTCATTTTTAGGAGTTGGCTGGTTTGAGCGTCGCTGCTTCCATTTCTGAGGTACTTGTTTTGCGTGTAATCATATCAATTTGGCAAGGATAAATATAATGATTATAAAATTTGATTCCTGCCAGGCATTGAAGTCATCTTATTCGTGTGTTGTTGCAGTAGATGACTAGAATGAGTTATGAAGAGCGTCTCTTTCTCTATAGATTTTTTTGTCTATTAATGCTGGTGCATTTGTGCTTGAATTGTTTTTATTTTGCCAGGTTTACAAACCAAGTGAGTATAGTCGTGTTCTTACTATATGCGGTCCTGGTAACAATGGTGGTGACGGTTTAGTAGCTGCTCGCCACCTGCATCACTTTGGTTATAAGCCCTTTGTCTGCTACCCAAAGCGTACCCCCAAACCTCTCTATGCTGGATTAGTTACTCAGGTTGGATGGAACTCATTTTGACAAAGTTTGGAACTGCCACTATTTTTTTATTTTATTTTTTTGTCTTTTTTCCATCTATTTCTTGGGTTTAATGAGTTACTTTAAGTCTTATGAAATGTTGATTTGTAGCTTGAAGCACTTTCAATCCCATTCTTGTCAGTCGAAGAACTACCGTCAGATATTTCAAATGACTTTGACATTCTTGTAGATGCGATGTTTGGATTCTCATTTCATGGTAGGTATTTTTCTTTTTAAGATTTGTTTTGCACATCTAGAACATCTACGTTATTCTCACCAATGTTTTGCAAACCAGGCTGAACAACATACTGTTACCACTCTTTTTCTGCCTCTAATCATTAGGTTAATTAACTGTTTTTTCATATAAGCTTACTGTCGCCTCAGAACTCTGGGTGGGTTGTTCGTGGTTTAGAATCAATATCATTGCTACAACTTAATACAGCACCACTTAGTCAAATTAAAGAACAGTTTCTTTGTTGTCAAAATCTTGCACATCCCGTCACATTGGCTCTGAATTCTGAATTACTGTATAGATCATATAACAAATAGTTTCATTTTAATATCATATTATGATACTTTGTTCTTTTCTGTTTCTTCAGGTTCTCCTAGGCCTCCTTTTGATGATTTGATCCAGAGACTTGTCTCTTTACATGATAATAATGCAATTGGCCAAAAAAGATCTGTTATAGTCTCTGTAGATATTCCCTCTGGGTGGCATGTTGAAGAGGGAGATGTTGATGGTACAGGCATTAAACCTGATATGTTGGTATGTTTCAGGGATATTTCTGTCTCATTATTTATTTCTTTAAATGTTGAAATTTAGATATAATATCCATGGATATTTATTTCATATAAATTGTGTTTCTATTGAGATACCATCCCTTCATTGTGTTTAATTTTTTTTTTTTGTAGGTTTCTCTGACAGCCCCAAAATTAGGTGCGAAGAAGTTCGTTGGTCCTCACCACTTTCTAGGAGGTAGATTTGTCCCACCTGCTATTGCTGAAAAATATAAGCTTATACTTCCACCTTATCCTGGAGCATCCATGTGCGTTCGAATTGGAAAGCCTCCACGAATTGATATCTCAGCTCTAAGAGAGAATTATATCTCTCCAGAATTTCTCGAAGAGCAGGTGGAGGCTGACCCTATTAACCAGGTAAAATTCATGTGAAACAATGCTGTTTGTTGCAGAGTTGTCCTTTTTTTGTTGTTGTGGTTGTTAATGAATTTAGTACTCTGCCATGATCTATTTCAGTTTCAAATCTGAGATTGTGATAGCTACAACTGATTGCCAATTTACAATATTCTACTTGTTATCTGCAGTTTCGCAAATGGTTTGATGAAGCGATGGCTGCTGGTTTGAAGGAACCAAATGCCATGGCCTTGTCAACTGTAGGGAAGGATGCAAAACCGTAAGATCTGCTCTTTTAATGTTAAAATGTTGGTTGCCTGAATACCAGTGGGTCTTGTAAAATGAATTACTCTTCCATACTTCTGGATAATGTGTGTAATATCTGAACTAAAAATTCGAAATTACTCTTCCTCATTTGTCTGCAGCTCATCACGAATGGTATTGCTAAAAGGCTTGGATAATGATGGATTTGTGTGGTCAGTAATAATCTGTTGTTTTTATGTTAGACCTGTTGTGGCATGTTATTTGGCAAATGCATATTTGTGTTCAGCTACTGCAATTGCTTTGAACAGGTACACAAACTATGAGAGTCGGAAGGCACGTGAGTTATCTGAAAATCCACAGGCATCACTTCTTTTTTACTGGGATGGTTTAAATCGACAGGTGAGTGTTGCTTACATTCTGTCTAGCCACATCTTCAGATTGACTTACTCTTACATGGAATTGACGAAGTTAAATTTTTCATGCCGAAGAATATCATGCCTTCTTGGAAACATATGGTTCAGCCTGCCATAATGTACTTTTTATTAAGAGGGAAAAGGAGGATTAATATAATAATTGATAGTTATATAACATCTTAGAATATCATTTAGGCTTTGGATGACTAAAATCTTTCAGGTTGTATAACATAGGGGATTAGAATATCTACTATCAATATGGCCTCTACTTTTGGAAATCTTAAGTTGTGGCATTTTAGTTAATTCAGTTGGATTCATGAGGGCTTGATCTGTTTAGTGATTTGTCTACTTTGTTTTCATTTTTCAAAGTCTAGGTAGACAAAAACTGATTTTCCATGCTAAAGTCTAAACAGACAGGCGGAAATTTTAGTCATGAGAAAACTAGCAATTTCATTTCATTTTCCTTTGGGATTTAGAGCAACATGCATGATGTGAAGTCTGTGTCCTTTATCATCGTTGTCTGCTCTTTTTTATTTAGCAAACTAATAATCCAGATTGATCTTAATCCAGTCTGCCATTTATTGTATCCAGTAGTGGTTGCATTACATTTG